GCATGGAGGTGCTATTCCTATTCTTCTTCTGGAAAAACGAAAGAGAGCTTCAAAACAGACTGCAGCGCCATCTGAAGCAAAGAGCATACTTCCTGCGGACACTTTTTTGGCCGAGTGGCCCATCTTGTTATTTACTATCTTTGGTTATTTATCCCAGGGCTGCCAAAGCAAGTGACTTGGGCCTTGATAATTTTTTGTTTATCAAAACTGGTAAGTTTTCGTGGGGGGCAAGCGTTTTAAATGAATCTAGTGATTTTTTTAAGTAAAAGAGAGAAGTTTTTCATGGAATCTATCTAGTAATTTTGCAAAATCCTCACTGACAACCCTGATTTATCCTCATTGGTTTAATTTAAAGTTGCAAAAAATCTGGTAAATTGAATTGCCTTTTTAGAACTCTTGGGTTTTTATTTTCCAATACTAACATTTTCTGCCAAGTTGACTTTCCTCCCATACTTCACTTAGTTTTGTTTTTATTCTCATATTTGGGTATTTATTTCTCTCTCTCTCTCTCTCTCTCTCTCTCTCTCTCTCTCTCTCTCTCTCTCTCTCTCTCTCTTTCTCTCTCTCTCTCTCTCTCTCTTTCTCTCTCTCTCTCTCTCTCTCTCAACTCCCCTCTGCTGAATTCTCTGTCTATCTCTCTCTCCCCCCTGTCCTTCTCTTTCCCTGCCGCTCACTCTCCGAGGGCACGCATACACCAAAACATGCACTCTCATCATACATCACACGAACACACATGCACACACACACTCTCTCTCTCTTTCTCACACACACAAATACACACGCGCACATACACACACACTTAGCTCCTAACATGCGACAGTTGAGCAGTCGTCTAAGTCTAAATTTCTGCTAGCTTGTATCTGACCGGTCAAGGATTTCGACCCAATAAGAAAATGATAATACAAATTTTTATTTTTAGATAGAATCAAATGTGCAACGAATATATAGAAGTGGACTTTGATAATTTCACGACACGGGGTTCAAATGATTCGGCCAAGTCTAGGTTGAGGCTGTCGAAGTTGCCCCATGGCAGAATTGGCCCCAACCTACCCATATGGCCATTAAAACGGCCCCAAATCAATTGTGTAAAACAAAATCTCAAACTTAATTGCAGAACATCAAATTACATCGTCTTTGGGGAACTGCCGGTTGGAAGGAAGGGGTGCCTCTTATCGATACAGTGGAACTCGGGTTCAACGAAGTCTTTGGGCTTGACCTTCAATTTCGTTGAATCCGAGTGTTTGTTATATAGCAAACATGAGGGGTTTGTGGAGATAATTACAGGCAATTATAATGCATTCGATTTTCTCAATCAAAAGTAGATCTAATTTGTTTTCTGATGAGAGGCATTTTTGTTTTTTTTATGCCATACCGAAGAAAATCTGGACAATTCCAAGAAAATGCACTGAATCCTACCAAACACACACTTTTGCAAAAAGACCAATTCGTTCAAATGCACACCTGTGTCATCCATCATCTATCTGTATATAATTATAATTTAAACGTATTGTTTGCCAAACAAGTTGTGTTGCTGTGTAGAGATTAGCACGGCAATGTTTGAATTTGATTCCTTTACAGTCCAGCGTGCAATTCATTACATAGATAGGTCTGTGTCAAGACAAGTTAATCATTGTAGCGTTGATCAGTAGCCGCGGAAAAAAACTGACATTTGTATCTCTTGTGCTCTCTCCTCTCATACACACATACACATAGTCACACGTGTGGTGGCCACCCGCCCGACCTTGACACACGCTAAGAGATGTGTCATGCTAATGACGTGTGTTTTGGTATGAAAGGAGGCTGCTGATTGGTTGCATTAGATATTTTAAAAACAATGGGCTAAGGGAATAATGGTTCATGATACAGGTGCGACGAATGGTTTCCGGGGATAGATTTAGGTTCACTGTGGGAGAAAAATGAGTGAAGCCACGTCAGCGGGGCTGTTCATCCTGCAAGCAACTTCGTCGAATCCGAGCTTGTTCATACATGTTTGAGTTTGATGAGTCCGTGTTATTTTTATTGATTTTTATGAGAATAGGAAAAATGGGGAATCGAACTCCTTTGGTTGGATCCGAGTTTTCGTTGAACCTGAGTCCGTCAGATCCGAGTTCCGCTGTATTTCTTCTGTACACTTGTTTAAGAGGAGAGCAATTCCCTTTCTTCTAGAGGTATTTAGATTTTTTTTTTTGCTTACTTGGTGCTAGTCAATACACCACTTTTGTAAAGTTACAATGTAGAAAGTTTCTAGACTGCTATCTGGAGCTGCTTATTATTGCTTATTTCATCGTTCATTGCTTTCATATTAGTCTCTCTCTCTCTCTCTCTCTCTCTCTCTCTCTCTCTCTCTCTCTCTCTCTCTCTCTCTCTCTCTCTCTCCCTCTCTCCCTCCTTCTCTCTCTCTCTCTCTCTCTCTCTCTCTCTCTCTCTCTCTCTCTCTCTCTCTCTCTCTCTCTTTCTCTCTCTCTCTTTATATATACAGTCGAACCTGCCTTAACGGAAACCTGTATAAAACGGAGAATTGTCTTAAAGGAATCTCCCCGCTCCCCCCTTAATATATTCCTCTTTAATTACGTGTATAAAACGGAAACCTGTCCAACGCGGAAACGGAAAGAAAAATCCGCTCCCTTCCGAGGATTTCAGCTGTATAAGACGGAAAATGCTTTGCCCGCTCAGCCCTGATTTGAAACAAAACTCGCAAGTTTGGTTCCGCTGGCTCTAAACTAACGCTAGCCTATGGTCATGCGGCTGGCCGAGAAAGAGGAGTAGGGGTACAATTTGGGGGTAGATGTTACCCCATCATGTGAGCCCTGAGTGATGCAGATGATCAGTGGAGTGTGGGTGTGAAATCTCACGACTGCCCGTAAGAGTGCTCGAGTAGCGAGCCCCTACGGAAACTTTCCTGGGCCCAGAAGCCAGAGGTGTGAAATTAGATTGACCAATGCCTACCGCCCTGATCGTACGGCCAGCCGAGAAAAGAGTTCCTTGAATCGTTGTTACAATGATGGCAGTAAGGGGTGGCATTGGTGGGTGGGGCTAAGGGTGGAAGCAAAGGAGATGTTCAAACCTTTCTGTTTTTAATAGGTCAAACAGTGGTCCTATGAAAGGCAAGCACTGGTGGTAATTGGATAAGTAAGACTGATGCAGGTCATTATCAGACAGGATAGCAATTGAGAGGTGTAAAGTTTTGACCACTGCTTGCCGATCGGACAAGCGATCCTTGATCCCACCAGCTGGGCCTTTGAACTACCCCCCCCCCCCCGATCTCCACCTAAATTCCCCTGTATAAGACAGAATTTTTTTCTGGTCCCTTGCGATTCCGTCTTACACAGGTTCAACTGTATAATATATATATATATATATATAGATATATAGACAGATATATAGAGATAGAAAGAGAGAAATAGATAGATAGATAGACAGATAGATAGATAGATATAAATATATATATTCCTGTCCAATGAATTTCATATTGCCTCTTCTCTTGATACAAAATGTTTGGCTTCAGATTAAAAAGAGGCACATTGTTGGACATGCTATTTTTTTAATTTTAAGAAGAGTGGAGATGGCAAGTTTACAAAATGCAAGTTATTTTACATATATATATCAAAGCCAACATTAAGAAATTTTTATCCGACATCCCTTGTTTGAAATTAGTAAATATGTTTCTTTATTCATTTTGATAAAGCTTCTATATAATATTTATCTGAGGTCCCAATCAAAGGTGGCTGCAGGCTTAACTGTCGTAAGGCCCATTACAATGTTTTTTAAATCTTTGGTAGGAGGTTCGAAAGGGAGGTTTTGTGGCTGGTGTGAGTGTTAAATTCTACAAAGCGTATCAGGTGAGGAAGACAGTGTGAAGTGCAATGGTAAAACAAAATGAAATCTGTTAGGCAAGGAAGACTGAATGCCATGGTAAATCACATAGAGGTCACCACCACTCTGCGAACGAGCTACATTTCTGTCACAAGTTCATGTTAACTTCCATTGTTACTGACTGAGTAAACAGAGTGACTGCTCATTTCACTTATTCATGTAGTTAGAGTTAAGAGTTGTGGGCAGGGCTACTGGATTATGGGGGTTCAAACGCCCTTTCTAGCAGCTGAAAATTTTTTACCATTTGCTTATTATATTGGGTAAACATGATGGGTTCATAGTTCATTCATTGGGAGGACTAACTATAATGACAGGTGAATGGATTATAACAGCTCGTCCATAGCATCAGGGGCCGATAACTATGCAATGCATAGGGCAATGAGAGATTTGCGTGACCATCTTACACAGGTTTATATAGTGTCTGTGGCCATGTTGAACAAGTTGTCATTTTATGCCGTGCCATAAAAAATGCGAGGGGGGGAATGTAAAGTGTTCATTTATTCAGATGGCTGTCTTGGCAGTTTTGAGTTCAACTGTACGTGCTAATTTGCAAGAAAAGATGTAGGTACCAGTCCACTTGACAATCGACCGCAGTGTTTCTGTTTTACTTGATGATCCACCACAAAACTGGTCTGACAATTGTTTCACTTGGTGGTCTACTAATTTACTATTACTAAAACAGTACCTAACCTTAACCCTACTCTGGTGACGGTTTAGGGTTTCAGTTAGGGTTATGAATTGTAGCAGTAAGAGACTATATCTAGAAGTAGAGCGTCAAAGGGAACATTTGTCAGACTGGTTCTGTGGTAGACGATCAAGTAGATCAGAGATCAGAAACATGGCAGTTGACTGTCAAGTTTACTGGCACCAACATACATGATGTGTATTCATTGCTGCTGGATTTCTAACAATTTTTTCCTCTTTGTTTTTCAAGTTCAACATGAAACGACATATTCAGTGCTGTCTTTTTTTGCAACTGGCTGTGGTTCTACTATCAGATGCTACTGGCACTCTCCAGAATGGTAGGTCAACCCCAAGTAGTCCTACATGTGACCAACGGAGCTATTGGCATTCCCGTGAGAGATTAATGTTAGAGTGGTTGTTTCATGTTTGAGAGAGAAATACCTGATCTTAAATGATTTCCTTGTGTCCTGTCACAACTATTTTCTTAGTTTGTACATCTTCTGTCTCTCTACATGGGTTGTTGGCAGGTGTTCTGGTGTGGTTTTCTCTTTCTTTTCTATCAAATATCCATCATCCTTATTTCTCCTCATTTTAACTGTATGTTACTCTCTAGCACAGTAACTCCTCTAATCTTCGGCACATATATGACTTATTTGTGTTACAAGTGCCATAAAAACTCGGTGTTTCTTGGTATTCTTTTAATTTATGTATGTGAATTTATTAGTTATACAGATACTCTCCATGTTTGCAGTACTTTGGTAATATTTTGGATATGCTGATCTGATGCATGTTTTTACTTGGATAGAATGAATTAAGGAAGAGAGTGGTGAGACCATGGGACCTTTGATGAAGACTAAATCCACTGAACTGTGATTCCATGATTTTGTAGGTCACCAAGAAACTATGGCTTTGATAATGACACCTATTTTCTCTTTGGGTTGCATAGTGCTATAAACAAGATCACCAAACTTATTATTTTAGCTGCTGGGAAAGCAGCTCACCAGATAGATTTCTGCCTGAGGGCAGAGTCAAAAGAAGTTGATAGAAGCCTACTAGATGCTGGATGTGTAACAACATCACTTGTTTCATAACATAGATACGTAGGCCTTTGTTTTGACATCAGTCTTTGAGTGCAATATGTACTGTCAAACATATGTAAGACGGCCACCCATTGTTGAGCAGAAAAGTGGCCGTATAAGACAGGTGGCCGTCTTAGGCAGGACTGATCAAGGTGAAGAAAACAAACTATTCCCATCTGTGGTCCCATTCGAAAGTAGATCTAGTCGCATTGTTGTTGTTGTTTCTGTTGTTGTTGTTAGTTTATATTCTGTTTTTGTATTTTGTTGCTGATTTTGCACAAGGGAAGGGTGACAATAAAACAAAATGTATCAGACGAGGAAGAATGAGTGCCATGTTAAAACTAACACATGGGTCGCCACCACTCGGAGAACGAGCAGTGCTTCTGTCACAAGTTCATGTTGACGTCCATTGTTACTTTGTTACAGACTGAGTAAACAGTGACCACTCATCTCACTTACGATTTGTTTATGAGTTCTGGGCGGGACTTATGGGTTATGAGGGATCACACGCTTACCTCACTAGCAGCTGAAAATTGATACCTATTGGTCAACAGTGGGAGGGGCCTACGCAACATGATCGGTTTGAGGGTCTACCTAACAACAACGACAGGTGATTGGATTATGACGACTCGCCCACAACGCCAGGGGCCAATGCACAAATTTATGACAAAACGTAATGGAGTCACTAAGGTGGCCATCTAAGACAGGTGTTATTGCTTAGTGTGATAGGGGTTGTGTCTTAAAATATGGTGGCCGCGGCCGCGTTGGACAGGTGCCCATTTTACAGTTAAATATATAGAAAAAACGCAAGGGGGGAAATGGAAAGTGGCCGCTTGTACAGGTGACCGTCTTATAGAGGTGGCCGTCAGGGCAGGTTCGACTGTTTTAGAAATATTAGTGAACACTGTGATCCAATCTAGACTGGTATTTAACCAATTGGAATACATATATGAATGCTAAGTGTAATTGAAAGTCATTTCATTACCTGAATTTTTAGCTTTATAGCTATCACAAACATAACCTCGAAATTCAGTATCACAACAGGCAGTCAAGAACATCATGAAATGCAACACCATGGAACAGTGGCTGAATGGATGAGTATTGGGCAAAACTGGTAGAGCTGTATTTGCACATAATATGACTGCTCCCAACTCAAAAGATGCACTAAATTCCCTGAGTAGAAGAGAACGTCACTATCTTTCGCCTGCGACACAACACATCCCACTGAATTCCTAGCTAAATAGGTTCACAAGGATACCTCACCTGACTGTCCCTTGTGTGACTGCCAGGATGAAACAGTATCACACCATCTCTTTTCCTGTCCTGCACTTTGCAACCTGCGTAGCACCCACCTATCTGCCTCCTCAGATATCAGAAATACATTATACAGCGACAAAACACAGCTAATAAAAACCTGTAAATTCTTTGCCATAGCGACAAGTCGAAGGGTTAGAACCCAGATGGCTGCTGGATCAGTAAAGTAAAGTAAAGCTTTATAGCTCTTTAATTTAATTACTCTTATCGTAGAAAATAGATCCAGCTTATTTTATTTTTCTCACCATCAAATGGTCAATGACTTTTAGTGGTTGAGATTTTAAACCCAAGCTGACTGTTTTCTTTCAGAGATGTTCATGACAAAGGAATACTTTTTCACACAGATAAACAGGTTTACATTGTTATTCAAACCCACACGACGTTTTAACGTATTTTCTTACCAAGCATGGTTAGCTAATTTGTTTGAAAGGGAACACCACCAAATTGCATTTTAAGTGACCTGAATTATTTATTCCCAGCAGTGATAATGCTTTAGCAAGAGCTTAAAATTGTTTTTTAAAAATGGCTTTAAAAGAACACAGAGAATCAAGTAGGCCTAAATGGTTAGAGGAGTAGCATGGGGAAAAATATGACAGAAGAATAGGTAAAAATGGGTATGCAAACCTAGAAAATGTATAATGAAATATTGTTCTTATGTTCTGAGTCTGATCGAAGTCTTATATTTATATTTATGCTTATCTCTCCACAGTTAGAGTGGAGACTTCAGCTGATCAGTGCTCTAAGACAATCAACTTGAGCCATAACACATCAATCAACCTTCATCTTTATTCAGAAGTTTGTGAACGTTGTCAAGGTTTTTTAGATTGTCCCTTGACACTGTTGAAGAAGTGCAGGATTCGCTTCACCATTGCTGATGAAATGGAAAAAGCGTTGTTGCAAATTTGTTTCCAAAGTCACTCATTTACGGTTACTGATTGTCTGGAAAAAGTAACGTTTGAAGAACGTACACCATCTGGCACCCTTAATCATCTAAATCGCCAGGTAAGATAAACCAGTGCTTGTTTAACTGTGAAATGACAGTTGATTGCTTTTCCTTTTTTTTCCAAGACAAGGACTCCATTTTCTTAATGCCCTGTAGTTCTCTGAAAAAGATACTGGTCACAATACGATGTACTCAAAAAAAAAACTGAAATGGAAGATCTTTTTCTTCTGAAGCTTTTTTTATGCATGTAACTGAACCCTTTTTAAAAGATATTTTGCAGGCCATGAATTTTGAGGTCCATTACTTGTTCTGTTGCTTATTTTTATAAATATGTGCTGCAATATCTATGAGAAAGGCCTTTGTTCATTTGAGACATGCCTACTTATTGTATTTAGGTAATATAATTATGACAGATAATTTCTTCTGATTTTTAAAATTATTATACAATTACAAATATTAGAGATTTTGCTATTCTGAATTACCAGTTTATTTGAAACGCAGACATGCTTAGCCAAAAAAAAGTGCAGTTGAAAAAGGCCTGAGTCATACAACAATTAATTATGGTGTGATGATTAAGAAAGAAGATGGTGGATAATTTAGTTGGATTAGTAGTCTACATATTTGAAGTCAATTGTTTTGTTTTGTATCTCAGGAAATAGGATGTTCGCGTCGATCTTACTCAAGAGAAATATGCTTGGACTATGGAAGTGGCCTCAACATTGTATTCTCTGGTTACAATTTTTGCTCTGTTAAGGGATATGGTGTTGTGAAATCAAAATCAGCTCATCACAGTAAGTTCTGCCTCCTCGTCAATTGTTGGTTTGTCTTTTTAGAAAAAAAAATTTATGTAGATGTTATACGTCCCATCAACACAAGTTACATCACTCAAAGGCGGGCTTCAGGCCCTGCCTGTCAGGGCCAACCTGGGCTGAGAGGGACACAACATTCCAACAGAAAGACCAAGATGCTCGATAAAAATGTTCTGCCCATTCAGGAATGGAATTCCAGTCCCCTGCATGGAGCAGTGAAGTGCCAAACCATTGCACCACAGATGCCGATTCTCATCATTTGTTGCTTTTTTTTGTTTGGATGCCTTCTTTTATTTTATTTGAATGAAGTCAGGGTTCGGCTCACTCGATACTGGATTATTGGGTTTTTTTCCTAGCATGACTATAAATACTGTCTCTTTAAATTTTAATTGGCGGATTTTAAAAAATGATACGGAAGTTTCTTACACAGCTGTTAGATTTACGCAAATGAGAAAATACTGTGTTCAATTGGATTTTTTTAAAAACAGAATCTGTTCTACACTAATTGCTTTTGTTTTTTTCTGTTTGTAATACACAGTGTGAAAGGCAAAGGCATAGAACTTGCTGTTGATCGGCAGTTTGTGCTATACAAAAGCTATCTATTAGTAGTAGTAGTAATGCCATTATATAAGATGCTGATATACAATGTACCAAAAAACATTCTTCATTTCTTCTTCATACTTTCTTTGTGATTGCAAATGGTTAGCAGGCAGAAATGAATTGAACAGTTTCTACAAGTTTACTGTAGATGACTGTAGGCTTGTACTTTAATGCTTAATTATAAAAGCAGATGACACTACTTCGTTGTTTCATTAACATTTCATTGCTTCGTCTTCTTCCCGAGCAATCACTTCAAAACTGTAAGTCCTGTCCTGGCGAAACAAATTCCAAAATTAGTGTACAGTGTGGTTTCTGTAACTTAAAAAATCTGCAATGTCCATCCTGCAGTGGCTGCTGGTTCTTTGTCTAAGGTAGGAGCAGGAGGTGCAGGGTATGGTTAAGTGCGTTAAAACTGCTGTTCCCTAAAGTTGCCTGATCACCTATCATTATAAACCCTTTTCTAAGATTTTGAGCATTGTCTGAGAATCCATATTTTTAAAGAAATTATTTTTCCGCTCAATTTCAAAGCTTGTCTTTTTCTGGAGTGTTACGCTTTGAAAGAAGTTGCAAGGTCTAGTGATGGTTTATGCTGTCACAGAGCATTGTTTGATTTCAGGCTCTCAAATATCTGATTACACCAACTAAGTTTTTGTGCTGTATTGAAGACCGAAAAGATGCCAATGGTTTCCATGCAGGATCTACACATGTAAAGCTGTCTTGTTATTCCCTTTACTTTGGTTTCAATCTGTTGTGTTTATTTCTCCAAATATTTTTTACCAAAAAAAAATGTTGTCTTTTGCATATAACATAACTGCAATTCTTTTATGCTTTCAAAGTTTAAGAATGTTATAATTTGTTGATGAATTTAATTGTTTTGCAAATATATATTTCAACAGGTAATACACATGTCAGTACAGTATATATTTGTCAATTAAAATTCATGTTCACAATTTTTTTAAAGAAGTGTTGAGAATAACTTGAATTTCGAGTCATTCAAGGGAATTTGTTCTTTTACAAATGAATCTCTGTTTAGGCATGTTCTTTTCACCTCTGTTTATGTTTTCGGCTTAGACAAACTGGCTATTCAGTATATGATTTCTATAATGTTTAGAAAGTGACAAAGGAGGGTGGAAGATGTGCCACTGGAGTCTGGAAGAACCATTCAAATCATTTATGAGCTAGTGCACTCTTTGGAATTGTTCTCCACTATGGATTTGATGTACCATTGAATTGTTATGGGCACCGTAACTAGTTACTTGTGGATTTCAAAGCTGTGTGTTTTAAGTTTTGCCGAAGGAATTCTGCAGTTCTTTCACAGAAAGACAAATTATGTTTTCTTACTTTGTCTCCATTGATTGTTCTTCTGTAATGAACTTGTAATTTTTTTTTCCTCCTACCCAGTTTCTTTGAGCAGCAATGACAGCTGTCCTTCAGGTTCCAGACATATTGACGTACACAGAGCCAGTGGTACTATTTCTTCTTACTATGGAACAAAAGACCATGCCCCTGCTGTATTTTGCAATGCCACTCTGAGTTCGTCTTACTCTGGGCGACGTATGGACTTTTGCTTCAGTTTTCGCTATGCAAGCTTTCAGCCTGGTGGGGCTACTCTTCAGATTTATGATCAATCTGGTAATAACCGCAGGTAAATATTTTCAGTCTTTTGTGTTTTAGCTGTAATCGCCAGCTTAAAGTTATCAACAGAAAAGAGGCTCTAAATGCAGAATCAGCTTGCAAACTTATGGAATGCATGTTATGCACATAGACTTGCATTAGCATTTAATCCAATCAGAATCTTTGTTCACAGCTTTTTTACCAGCAACTAAAATAGCAATCGCTGGCATGCTGTCAGCTGACTAATCTGGCTAGCTCATTTAACCAAAATGGTTTTTCAAAACACTTAGCATGCACAATTAAGGCAGAGGGTTTCATTTCAAATTGCGTTGGGTAAGTGATGGCAGGCAGCAAAAAAGCCAGTCATTCATGTCATTATTCCGATTCTTCAGATGTGTTTTTGGATTAGGAAGAAGAGAGTGTTTGATGTTCAAACGAATGCATTGTATATTATAGGAGTCTCCGCCTAAACCCACGGTGCTCGGGAGGGCTTCTCGGCATGTGTTTCTACGGAGAGTGCGTTTACATGAACCTGTGCAAAGGGAGGTAACTTTGGCCGATAATGTGACGGTTTTGTGACAAATTCCCGTACTGTCGGTGAAGGGCGTCGAACTTTGGCCGATAATGTGACGGTTTTGTGACAAATTCCCGTACTGTCGGTGAAGGGCGTCGAGTTGTGGGGGGGGGGGGGGGTTAGAAAGACAGACTCAATGTTCTGATATGCTCCATAAAATGTCAGGAACAGATGGCATTGAGGACTGGGGTGTCTGTGGACTGCCTGCCCACCCTGAGAAGGGGCCATGCACGTTGAGGATACGTGGTGCAAGGGTTTTCATGAGGCTGGAAAGGCCTAACTGCCCTGTGACCGTTTAATTCCGGTAGGGTTCACGTTGCCCATTCCCCGCCACCAATGGCTACTGGCTATAGTTGTCTACTCTTACATGAGGTTTCAACCAAGTGAGAAAGCCATTGGATCGTCACGTCCTGGGTCGTTGTGCCTTTACTAAGAGGTCCACGGTCAGAAGGCAAGTCAGGCACTCCGCTCGATCCATCCTTGCATCCAGACCTCCCCAAACTGGCTGGTTCCTTCTCAGCCACAGAGGGTGTGTCGGGAACAGATAGCCTAAGAGGAAACTGTTGGTGATAATTATAGAGACGACGGCCCAGCCACATGGCTTCCCAAGCAACCACCCCCGACCGTAAATTCATGGACGACTTCAGAATCATAGATCCCTACACGTACAGAAACATTTCTCTAGTGATTCGTTAAACAAGTATATTATAAGTTCTTCTAGCACAGCTGATTAAGCTTACTTGACTAATCTTTAATCCTATGTAGTGTTTTACAACATTCATGCGTGTTGTGCATCATAGACCTAGGTCTAACTAAACATTATACATTCAGTCACTCAAACATCAGTCAGAAACCTTCTCTCAAAGATGCATTTCCAGTGACCAATCAAAAAATATTTCAGTCCCCCAACCACCAACATTTCACCGACCAGTCCTAGAGCTATGTCAAATGTCTCTGTGGAAAGTTAGGTGTGAAAACGCTGTCCCCCCGTTACTCTCTTTGTTTGGCGTGAGGGGCAGTCTCACCAAATACATGTATCCGGAATTCTATGCTTGTCTTATGCAAGCGGTGTAGGCTGAAGCGAAAATTTCCCCTTGTCAAGCTTTGCCTGTCGATGTGTTTCGTGGATGGGAGCGTGCGTTTAGAGGGAGTGACCGTGCGTTTGTACATCTAAATTATATAGTAAAAAAACGTATGACGAAAGCGTGCGTTTGTGCGGAGCATGCTTTTGTATGGCGTGCCTTTGGGCGGAGACTACTGTACATTATTTGTCATTTTATGACTTCTGACTGATTTTTAAAAATTGTATTTCAAACTTTGAAACTAATTCAGCCTTCATCTCTGCCAAAAGAGATCTGAGGGGGCTTTTTTGTTTGTTTGGGTTCTTGTTTTAATATTTTACGGCGCTCGCAGCTGCATGTGGTCATATGAGCGCGGGGGGATACATTAAATATTTTCAGTTTGATAGGAATTTTGGATTTTGCCTGGGTGCTGGCCGAAGCCTACTCTTATTTGATCGATTTTAGGACCACCAGGGGGTCTTTGACATGCTCAATTCGCTCATGAGACCTCCAAGGTTTTTTGCCCTTGTCCGAGTAAGCTAGGTGTTAGATCTTACCTATCATAAGGATGAAGGTGTGGATGAAAAACATGTGAGAAGGAGCCAAGGAGTAAAGAGTAGAAAACCTGCAGAAAGAGTCAGGAGCCCATAGGAAGGGGCAGAAAGTGGAGATGAAAGAAAACTACAGAACATGGTTAGAGTTAGAGAGCAGGAAAGAATAATTTAGCGTCGCTATCAGATTTCGAGCTTGGGACCTATTGAATGAGAGGCAAACACCTTACCTCTAGACCAGGAGAACCCCCAGAAGATTTGTGTAATGTGGAAAGAATTAAAGATGTCATGAAAGATGCGTATGCCTACGTTTTGAAAACTCAAAATCGTCAACCAACAGATGTTATTACCTATGGCAATTGGTTAATTGAATTTGACATGACAAAATGGAAACTACTTCAGGACATTTGTGAAAGATAATTCTTACTGTAGACTTTGATGGCTTGAAAGACTGCAAATGCTTTCAAGAGTTTTCTCTACATATCCGAAAATGCAAGATTTGCTGTAGACTGTCAGGGCAGTAGCACAAATTGCACTCAGAGTTGAAAAGCTATCATGAAGATTCTCTGTTTTGGACTCATGGGAGTGTTTTTATTGAAGAGATACAACCATTTCTCTTGAGGATAGATTAATGTAGACCTACATGAAACTTTAAATGTTGTTGTTCTCAACTAATGTAGTTGGTGCACCCCTCACTGTAAGATTATCATACCTCATAAAATGAATATCTGATCACTTAATATTTAGTGAAACTGCTTTCTGTGCATGACTTTTGACTGGTCACTCAAAATGTATCTCTGAGGGAAAGTCTCTAATTGGTTACTGACCCAGGTCTATGGTGCGCAACATGTGGGAATGCTATAGAAAGCTAAATGAGGTGGTTGCTGCAAGCTATTCAATTAAGTTTAAGTCTGTTTGGGTGCTTTTTACATCAGGGACAAAAAACTAGTTTTTGTGTCATTCCTATCAAGAATTATGAAAAGCAAGAACAATGTAAACCTTGACCATAGCGTTAAACTGCATTTTGGTGATGTCGAAAAGTTCATTTTTTATAGAGCTTTGAGAGGGTGTGAAAATAGAAAATTCTCAAAATTAGGACTTTAGTGGATTGCTTGCAGCAGGGGCAATATAATAATATATATATATATATATATATATATATATATATATATATATATATATATATATATATATATATATATATATGTGTGTGTGTGTGTGTGTGTGTGAGGCATCATCGTGAAATCAGGCACTCGTGGAAATCTAAGAAATTGTCATTTTTCGGCCAGTGTGGACGGAGGTTTTTTTCGAATTTTTGGTTTTTGGGCTCAACACCTTGTATGTCCTTTCAAAAACACTTTTATGTGTGGATTTAATGGAAAAAACGTTGATTAAAGGCCGAAAAAATGTTAATTTACTGTTAACAAGTACTCTTAAGCTTTGGAAGTCACCAAAATTTGGCGGCCATTTTCTCGCTAATTTTGCTTCTGAAACCAGGCAACCTCATCTCCTTCAATCGCAAATATCTCAACTTCTAGTCAAGATAACTGGATATTTTTTTTAACTAAAGCAAGGCAAATGAATAACCTTTAAGATGATACCATTAACTCTATATGCCTAAAATTTGACGAGCGCTTGATTTGCATCGTGATACATATATGCCCATAGGTTTGACGATTTAAATGAGATGGTTGTGTCCCCTTCCCTCTTTGCTCAGGTTCACATAAACACAGGCTGCGTTAAAGCACATCTTTATAAGCGGTGCCCTTTGGCAGGATCTCTTTGGTTCAGTTTGGTTTGGTTATTGGGGCTAACCAGATTTTCCTCAATGGAGGGAGGCAAAAAGCTACCATTGTGGCACAAATGGAAAGAAACCAATGATGACCTTCAAAAACAAACTAGTCTGTTTTCAAGGCTATGCATCTGGCGACTGGTTTTAGGCAGGCATCTGTTTGTAGTGTGCACTGAAGCCTTGACAAACCAAACCAAACTGAACCGAACGAATCCTTAAATGGGCTCCGCCTTTTAGGAGGCGTCCCAAGCGCCATGTATTCAGACAGAGACTACTGAACAACTTTGACCTCCATGTATTACCAATTATTGAAACTGGTTACGGTATTGAAATAAATGATTGAGGTAACATTCCAGTGAGGGCAACTAAACAGTATCCTAATGAGAGAAATAAACAATAATAGAAAGAAAAATATTGATGGCCATGTGCAAAGGTCTCTGAAAAAGTACACAGCAGAGAATGTTGCATAATAGATCAGTTACTTACAGAGATATACATTGACATAAAGATACAAGCATAGTCCAGAGTCTCGCACACTCTTGTATGTGTCCACACTGAAACAATAACTACAGTCGAACCTGTGTAAGACGGCCACCCATTGTAAAGAAGAAAAGCGGCCATATAAGACAGGTGGCCGTCTTAGGCAGGACTGATCAAGATGAAGAAAACAAACCATTCCTTTCTGAGAAAACAAACCCTCCCTTTCTGAGGTCCCAACCGAAGGTAGTTGCATTGTTGTTGATGTTTTCGCTGGGTTTTCTTTTCTTTTGTTGCTGCTTTTGTGCACGGGTGACAATAAAACGAAATGTGTCAGACAAGGAGGATCAAGTGCTATGGTAAAACAATCACACATACTACCACTCGGAGAACAAACGACGCCTCTGTCACAAGTTCATGCTGACGTCCATTGTTACTTTGGTACAGACTAGGTAAACAGTGACCACTCATCTCACTTGCGTTAATTTGTGTATGGATTCTGGGCGGGGCTTATCGGTTATGAGGGATCACACGCTTCCCTCCCCAGCAGCTGAAAATTAATTTTGTTACCTATTGGTCAAAGTGGGAGGGGCCTACGCAACATGATCAGTTGGAGGGACTACCTAACAACAACAGGTGATTAGATTATGACGGCTTGCCCACAACGCCAGGGGCCAATGCTTGATTTATGACAAAGCGTAATGGAGTCACTACGGTGGCCGTCTAAGACAGGTGTCTTTGCTTTGTGTGATAGGGATTGTGTGTTGAAATATGGTGACCGCGGCCGCGTTGGACAGGTGCCCGTTTTACACAGTTAAATTATATCGAAAAAACGCAAGGGGGGGAATGGAAAGTGTCCGTTTGTACAGGTGGCCTTCTTATAGAGGTGGCCGTCAGGGCAGGTTCGACTGTATTATGATTGTCTGTATATATGTGCAGGTATAGCTTAGTTCTGTTGTTCAGGAATGCATGTCACATGTCGTAGAGCGTTAACAGAGAAATATTGAGTGATTTCTTTTCCATTATGATTATGTTTTATTGTAGTAATAACAATTATGATAAGGATGGTAACAAAGATAATTTTTATAGTATAGTGATCCTGGTGGCTTTGTTAGTATAAATGCTTGTACAAATATTTCAAATGAACTTGACTACCAGATGTGCATTAAGTATGACTGTTGTTCTTTGATATGTATTACTATAGAATCAATTGTTTCTCACATCACATATGTCTCTGTTTGTCTTTCTAGAAAGTATGGATATGACAAAACACCTAGTAGGAACTCAGAGTACTGCATCCTTCTGGGCAAACCAAATAAGGTCAAGGTGTTCATACAGACAGCCTGTTCCAGAACAAGTGAATGTGCTGCACATAATTATCAGCATGCTTTTGTGTTTTCATATAAGTTCAAAGGTGAGTGTGAATCTGAATTCGATAGCAAAATTTGCATAAAGTAGTAGCAGGTGATAAATTTTCTTCTCTTTATTTCATTTTGTTAAAACTAGTTTGGGTTTGATGCCATATTAAGCAATGAACATGTCACAGGTCATTCAAGGTAACCCCCACCCCCTTTCCTTTCTTTTCTATGTCTCTTTCTCTTCTTCTCTCTTCTCTCCTCATTTTTGCTAATCTCTTCTCTTATTCCCCCCACAATGAATGTCATTCTTATTAAGTTTTGGAGTTACAGTTACCTCATCCATCCCCCATTCCCCACCGCAGGGGCCATAATTTCCCTTGAATCATTTTTACGAATGTATTAAAGATGTATTCAGCTACTTTCAGCATTTTGTCACAGTGAAAGGAAGATTTGGTTGAAATGACATTTTGTGCTCTGAAAATGCTTTTTCCTTCAGAGAACCTAGAAGCCGAGGCCACCTCTTTCTCTGAAGGCGAAGATGATAATTGGAGGATGGTTTCTGCTGCTGGGGCTATTCTATTCATTATCCTCCCCTGTTGTTGCTGTATGTGTTGGTGCTGTACGAGGAAAGACGCTTCAGAGTCCACAAATGGTACTGGTACTGCAGCTGCTGCAGGTGTGTATGCATTATGTGTGTCATGTTTAATTTGAAGAATAAGACAATGGTACGAAATGATTATACGCTCGTAGTATGTTGTCAAGGAAAAGAAGGGAGAATTGGGGAATCTGCCAAAACGTCCTCCTTCTTCTTAAGCAGTTTTCTATGCTATTATTTTTTTAGAGTCTCTGCTTACTTTTCTAGCACTGCTGTCAAATTAGCACTACCTATCACATTTAATAATTACAATGGACCCAGGCTATAACAAGACTTCCGGGACGGACAAGATGCTTTTCAATTAATTTTCCATCATTGGAAGGTATCCATGTCATGAAAAATGTCTCCCATTAGTCAATCATTAGTTGTTTACTCTTGATCCCTGTCTATGTCAGAATTCGGCTATGACAGAGACATCTTGTCTGTCCCGGTAATCCTGTTATCTTTTGCAAAAGATCTGTCAACTACAGTCAAACCCCGTTATACTGCTTACCTTGGGACGAGCATGAAGTTAGCAATACAGCAGGGCTGGCAGTATAAAGAAGTTTACAGATCCTCTGTTTAATACATGTGACACTGACTGCCCTACATCAAGGGAACTTGTTTACCAATGACTAGATGAATTAATAAGTTATCTCACTTCAATCTGTCACTAGACTTGAGCGTGAGATTGGGCTGACATCTGCCGAAGACTGATATTTTGCTGGGGGGCTGAGATGGCAAAGTTCCTATTAAGTCTCTCCAGGCGACTTAAAAATCTACTTCCAATTTTTTCTTTTTATATTGACGTAGGCCTAAAATATTAGCATTTTCTCAAATTTCATAATCAACCCATCAAATTTAGTCGGATTCACGCGGGGAGCGAAATTTGATGCTGCATTACAAATACATGTTTTATTTTAATTGTACTCTTCTACTTTACACAACAAACTGCATCACTGTAGATCTATCCTTATTGCCTGAAATCTACAAGACAAGGTGGATTTGATCTAGACTTTTGCCTAGCTCGGTAGAGACCTGTGTGAAAGGTTGTCAGGTAGCCGCTGAGTGGATGTGTCGTGCGCAATGTGTAGCCTTGTGTGTACTGTGTACTTCTGGCTGGCCAGTTTGCTGGCAACACAACAGGGTAAATTTACAGTTGTTTAATAAGAACCGTACAACTGAGACAATTGGCAGATGGCGGTGTAAAGACACAAATATGAGGGATTCTTTTCAAATATTGGCAAAATCTGGCGGTAAGCGGGGCTGGCGGTACAATGCAGGGCAGTACAGTGAGGTTTCACTGTACTACCTTTTATGGGACGCAAGGTCTGTTATGTTGTTTTGTTGTTTGGAGTTTTTGTTGTTATTGGGGTTTTTTTAGTGTGTTTTTAAAATCTGTATTTGAATCTGCACTGTTTGTGATTCTCATTCACACACAAATTCAAAGTAGAAAAAGCTCTCATAGATCCACTTGTACTGACCAAGAGATCAGATCTGGTTTTCAGTCATCTTGCCTTCTGTTCATTCCTGAAATTTCCGTTTCACATCTCGCTTCCCTGCGGGGAGACAAAGTGACAACGCTGTGCTAGACATGGTCATGCGAGGTCACTGGAGAATGTGTGGCCACAAGTGCGTCCACTTTTTTTTGTTTTGTTTTTTGGAAAATGTTTTACAGCGCTCGCAACTGCAAAAGGTCATGTGAGCGCGCGGGACACACTTAATATTTTCAGTTTGATGGAAATTTTTAATTTTGCCCGGGTAGCGGCCGAAGCCTACTCTGATCAATTTTAGGCCACCAAGGGATCTTTAACGTGCGCAACTTGCACACGGGCCCTCCAAGATTTTTCTCCCTTGTCAGAGACTGCTAGGTATAGATCTTTCCTACCAGAAGATCAGGGGTGTGGCTGAAAGACAGCAGTAAGAAGGAGCCAAGTAGTAGCAGTAGAAAGGCTTCAGAAAAAGTCAAGAGCCCAGAGGAGGGGGAAAAGGAGGTGGGGCAGAAAGAGGAGACGAAAGCAGACGACTGAACATTGCCAGCGAGCAGGAAAGAAGGGGAAAGGAGACAATTTTAGAAAAGAAAATTTTTTGGTCGCCACCTCCACTTCTCTGCCCTGGGTGTGCGGAATGAAATGCCATGAAGTAAGTGTGTAGGCATACCATACACAAGCAGCCTACATGTACTGTAGGTCATGTCAGTGCAAATTGCCTTGTACATTGGATATTGTTTTGCTTTGTTTGGCTTTGTTTCTTTTTCTCTTGTCCTTTTTTTTTTTTTTTAGATATTGTTAATGATTGGACCATATAAACGAACATTTCTGCCAGAGTGCCTGCTATAAAAAAATGTTTTTTTCTATACATATAAATGTAGATTGTACTTGGGGATTTATTGTTTGCCTGCTATAAAACGGAATTCCTTCCATTACCGAGATTAATATGAGTAATATCAGTGGAGCCAACTATAACATGAACAACTTCTCCTTAGAACACAGATGTATCTTGAGGGTTTTCCACTTTTTAAAGGTTTGCAGACAACCATTTCTAGACTTAGGAACTTTACTTGTTGTGGACTTCCTTTAAGACCTTGGTCAAATTTTCAACCAGTGCTGCTTATCAAGATCTACATCAATCTGAAGGCTTCCTTAGCTCTGAGCTCCCATCTAAATTATCATACACCTCTGTACAGTCTTGAACTTTATCTCCCCCCAGGGCAGTGCCACTGACTGTAGTGTCTCTAGGCCATTCCCAAAGGGGGGACATTTCTCGTTAAAGCACAGTAGAATTGTAAATGGGCTGATTCATGTCACGCTCATAACTGTGCCTGATCTACAACAGGGAACTGCTGCTTTTTCTTTCCTTATCCTTACTATTATCATTTTCCTCTACTTCTTTTGTATGTTTGTCACACTCATGTGACCTGCTATTTCCGGGGTGCCTTGATAGTTGAAGCTAGAGAGATGAGCAGAGTAAGTCTGATTCCCCGTAAAGACTTCTCTGTTGACACCCACCCCTTGGCCCTCATATGACCTTATGCAGTTGCGAGCACCATAAAACCCTCTACTATAATAAAATAAAATAAATGAACTTTATCAGCCATAGACCCGCAGACTTTCTGATGTGTTATGAGAAGAATACAAATTTATTCTTTCACTTTTATAATTATCCTTCAGAGTCGCAGGCCACGGGTAATCCAAGAGGTGAAACCAGGGCTCCTGTCTTTGTTCACCCAACTCAAAGCATCAGCTCAAACAGTCAAGGCCAGGCTCGCTACCAGACCACAGACATGTCTGCCCCACCTCCAGCATGGTCAACGATTTACGGCCGGTCATCTCGCAGTCATCCTCCTTCTTCCTCAGCCGTGCCGGCCTCCAATGGATATCCTTCTCCTCCACCCATTGAAGAGAGTCGGCCATTTGTTGACCACAATAGACAGGATGATGACTCAGATTTGCCTCCAGCATACAACTCATTGTTTCCTGATAGTATGTGAAATTACTGAAAGTGGGAGTATCGCCAAAGAGTCTACATAACAAGAGGGGCCACTTCTCTCTTTGAGTCAATTAAAAAAGTGTCCTCAAAATTCGGTGGCGCCCTCTTCACAAAAGCGCACCCGCACCTTTAAAAAATCAAAGTGAAACTAGCAAGTTTTTTAAAATAAATTTCGGAAGAACGCTTTTTTAAAATGGTTACGCTGACAAAAAACCTCTTCCGGAGGAAAGGGTGATTGTTTTCTTCGTTTAATTTGACTTTAGAATGAAAGGCGAGAGGTCATTAAAATTTTAAAAAACTAAAACTCCACACTGAACAAACCCGAACTGCAGATGAACAGCAGTCGATCTGCGCACGCAAGGAGGTGCTATTCCTATTTTTCTTCTGGAAAAACGAAACAGAGCTTCAAAACAGACTGCAGCGCCATCTGAAGCAAAGAGCATACTTCCTGCGGACACTTTTTTGGCTGAGTGGCCCATCTTGTTATGTACTATCTTTGGTATCGCTAAAGATGGCCAAAAGAAGCAGATCTGGACATGAAGAAGTGAAGGAGATTTTACCCCCCCACTTTGTCAGCACATCTGTCAGTCTTGACATTTGAACCTCAAAGTGGAATGGTAAGAATACTACAAAGCTGAAGAGTGCTGTGCAGCTTGGAAAGGCTTTCATTCAATGTGTTCAAGGCTCTTCTCTCAACACATTCTCAGAGAATCTCATAAACTTATCTGAAGTACAGTCTAACCTCATTTTACACCCCACCTCCACCCCCGTTATACTACCAGGCACACTTACTGCCAGGTTTTGAAATGTACGAAAAGGAACACCTATAAACATAGTAATTTGTGCCTTTACACCACCATCGGCCAACTATGTGAGTTATATATAATGATATAGTTCCAATTAAACTAATGTAAATTTGCCTGTCTATACTACTAGCAAATTAGGCGCCAGAGGTACATACAATATATGGCACTCGTTGGGTGGCAGCTGTATAATCTCTTTCCATACACATCTCTCTAAGATCAGCTTATTTCTACCATTCGTCGCCGATTTGCTCCTGATTTGATCTGATTATGAAAATGGTATTATTTGTAGGCTTAAGCGAAAATTTTGTTAAAAAGGAACTTCATTTCGGCCTGCCAGATATCAGCCTGATGACCAAAAGGCCGGCAGATGCCCATGAGGCTTTTATATTGTGTGGACTCACAATATTACATTACGGTCTGAAGTGGGTCATGGACACACAAGTATCGGGTTAAAAAATTGTACTTCTACAGAGTCCTTGAGTCCTTGACACATAATCTAGCCTAGCTTCTGATCCGGCAGAAACTGTTAATTTAGATTTACATAAAGTAAAGCTCAGGTGGAGCCATACTTGTAATTGTTGGCTACTCATTTTTCTCTTCGCATGGCAACTGCACACGGCAGACCTAGATGAGTCAAGAATGGCCACAATTTGTCTCTAACCTCTACCACCAGTCAAGATGGCAATCAGTGCTATCACATTATATTGCCAGCCCCTCTGTAGCATTTGTTTCATGCTCATCCCAAGGTAGGCAGTAATACGGCGTTTGACTATATTTACACTTACAATGTATTATTCTAGTGTTGATGTGATGAAGGTCCTGACAAAAATGTTATGACATCTTTATTTGAGTATTTAAAGGTAGTGACTTAGGTTACTTTTTCCAAGCTTTCTACAATGCTGCCTATGCAGGCCTCGCAAACTTGGCATAAAGCTTTTTTGACAATTTGTCTCCTTTAGATTCAAGCTTATCGCAAAATGAGATATGTTGTATTTGATTTACCTTTAAACTTGAGCCCCAGTTTCCGGAGCCTATAGGACTCATGCATCTGAAATCCTTAAGTTGACTTCTAGATTAGCATCTCCCCATTCTGAGGTGCGAATCTGGTGCTCAGAAGGGTATTCGTAGCGCACTGTCGGGTGTACTCTCTTGCTCATGTGATTATGAATAGTCAATAGAAAAGACGAAAAGACCATTTTTTTAAAATGCTTTAGATCAGGGGTATTCTGTTCATTTCTGTGTTATTTGGAAAACAATGTAGACTCACTCTCTCCTTTTTTTCTCTTTGGAGGCCTGAAATATATTTCGTCAAAGAGGATTGTAGCGCATTAGTCAGTAGAAGTAGGTTGAAATTTATTTATTTTTAAATGAAAATAGCTTGTAGAGGCAGAGGAAAGCTACTCCATTGCTGTATCAGTATAAGTCGCCGCATTGCAGTTGGCATTCCAAATACTCACACACTTTTCATTCAAAAGATTGTCATTTATAAACCTTCTTGTTGATTTCAGTGCAATAAACTGTTCTTACTTAACTTAAAGTCTTGTATGATAAGAGCATGGTTAATGTAGATGAATTATTTTTATTGTTGTTACACATGTTCTGAATTTAAGTCATCCCTTTATTTACAATTTACTTATTTTACATTTTATGTATGCAAAGTGTCATGATCTTATTTATATCTTATTTTCAATATATCCTGGTTGTTGCTAGACAAACCCTTAATTTTGTTGAGCCCAACTTTCGAGATCAGAAAAAAAAAAGAATATGGTGTCACTCTTTTTTTCTTGTGACAATGGCAATGTCTAAGCTGACAAATTATGCCAGGCACTTTTTAGGGAAGTCTTGCATTTAGACACTCTATCCCTCCCACAAAGTTATAAGTGTTCTGCATTTTGTTTTCCTGTCATCTAAGAAGCCCTGTCATTCCATTTTGATTTGGGAAGCTGCTCCGGAATTGTTCTTCTTAATTGTCTCGAATCAAACTACCCTGAGCATATGATGGGTAACAACACGCATACTCATCGTTAATGATGGTATCAGGTTACATGGCCCCATCATGCTCGCCCCTACACAATGTGATTCACACACTGCTTGTATCGAGGTGCTTCCTCGCATATTACCTGTAGGCCAGTGTGTAAAAGACACTAGAATTCACTTGTATCTCTAGTCAGAGTCATGTGAGGGTAGATGCTGGATGGTAGGATGTGATCAAAGACAGAAAGTGTGGCAAGGCGTTGGCCATATGGTGTGGGAATTATGTTTGTGATTGTATGTATGCATATGTGTGTGTGTTGTGTGTGTGTGTTTATGTGCGTGTGTTTGTGTAGTGTGTGTGTGTAGTGCGTGTGTGTGTGTTTGTGTGTGTGTATGTTGTGTGTGTGTGTATGTGTGCTGTTGTTGTTGTTTGAATCCGAAGTTATGGATCGGGAAGTGATTACACAGATTATTCAAGAGGGTGGGTGGCTTGCTCAGACCAGTATTGGTTACATCATGATGATTGTGATATACCATAAGGGCAATTAATTTTTGTTGAAGGCTCTTCAGCAACACTTTTCTTTTCTCTAGCTTTGTCTGTGGGGCAGCGGTTTGGCACTTCGCTGTCACACAAGGAGATCCAAGTTTGATTCCAAGCGGGGAGACAATTTTTATTTATTATCTCTGTCTTTCTGCTGGGTTGGCCTTAACAGGCAGGGTTGGAAACCCACCTACTAAATTATCTCTACACTGTGTTGATGGAGATGCAAAAATTCTTACATTATTCTTTTTTTTTTTTTATGGTCTCATATGGTGCAATATAATAATAATAATATTATGATTCCTCTGGCAATTACAACTTAATGTGAAGCAGCTTGTGATACAACAACTGAGTGGAGTTTTACGTTTTCATCAGCAATAATAGATTGCATATCAATATCAGGAAGATGTACTCAAATTATATTTAAGTGTGTGTTCGTGAATTCTGTTTTTATAACAATAACACTACTTACCGTGTTCATCAATGTTTTCAGTGATTTTCACCAGTTATGAATACGCTGTTGTCTTTAAATGCTCTTTGATTTTTGTCTTTTTTGGGTATAATTAACTTATTACATTTGCCTTTTTTCAGTGATGTTATCTTTGCTCTTGATGTGGTTGCATAATTTTACATTATTTTGACACTATTATTTTTCAAAAGTGCATGCATATATGATTTAAATGAATAAAATCACCATGTTTCAGTTTTGGACTTGGTAATCTGAAAATTGGGCTGAAACGACTTGCTTTGTACTTCGTGTGTCAGGGTGTTCATCATGATTGCTTGGTCCCTCAATGTTGATCTTCTCTAATATATATTGCTAGCCAAGATGGTCACGGCGGTTGCAAACCTGACCAATATCCAGTTGTTTGTCATTCAAATTCAAAGAGTGCAGAAATGTTTCTCTTATCTTTCTTTTAATTTTTTTCCTCTCAGGATACTGTGCTTTGTTCACTAGAAGAGTCAAAAGTTACCAAGGTATAGATTTTCACACACCTAATGTGTATATTTAAAGTAGCATCAAGTTGTACAAAGCTTACTTATTAAATTATAGAACTTCTCTTGAAGTACATGTTGCCATGGATCTCAAATCCTTTGATTATACTCATGGTGATATTTTTTTATGTAGAAAATGGTATGCTCAATAAATACATAAGCGTGATAAATAGTGCAAGCATTATACATGTATGTTACATGGAAATTTCTTAATAGTAGAGCTCACACGCATAATTGATAATAACTGCACATTGTAGTCATAGCATCTTTACCCTTTTATACTACTTGTAGTACATGTAGTATTACTAGATCTTCTTTTCATACTCTTACCCACTCATCAATCCTTTTCTTTTGAAACCTCTGACATTCTGTCAGTGTCAGGCAATGTGATTCATCTTTAATTTTGAAAAAAATAATTAAATCCCACATTTAATATAGACCCTATTACATTTTATCTTTCAAAAACTTCCTAGTATTTTTCTAATGCCCTCATGTAATCGGAAACATGAGTGGATGTGTGTGTACCTTCGACACAGCTTTCCTGAAAGAACTGGATTTATATTATTGTTAAGACCCACTGCCAAAGGTGACTTGCAACATATTGTTAGACACACTGTAAAAAGCTGCCTTCTGCCATTAGACACGTGAGGATTAAAGGTGTCTTCTGTCCAAAGAGTAAGTCAAAGGTGACTTCTGCTTTTTAGACAATTTGTAGGTGATTAAGACACACTGCTAAAGACTGGCGTCGGGGTGTAGTGATTAGGCGCTTCACTGTCGCTCGCAAGAGACTCAA